AAAAAAAAAAAAAAAAAAAAAAAAAAAAAGATTATTTTTACTTCATTCTTTCTCATTAACTTTTAATAATTCGTCTTTTTATTTATTTATTTAATTATCAACTATTAAGTAAAATGATTAATGATGGTTAATAAGATGTCCTAAGGTAATGTTAAATGATTAATCACTGTTAATAATAGAGACAATTTTTTTTTTTTTTTTTTGTTGCAAATTTTAAAATTTTAAAAAAAATATGAAAATTGATAGATGGAAATGGAATATTGAAAATAAAATTTAAATGTAGAAAAATAGTTGCCTTATATATATATATATATATATATATATATATATATATATATTTTGAGAAAATTAGAAGATTATTTTGTAAAGGGAAAAAGAAAATGACAAAGTTGGTTGGATTGTTTGTCTAAAGTCATACGAGAAAAAAGGTGACATGTCGTGTTTGGGTAAATATGTCTAACAATTTGTCATTGTCTTTTGAAAAATAATTATATTTTAAATCAAAATTAGAAATTTCATGTTATTTTTCCTACTAAGAAGGTTAATATCCTATGAACCACCCATCGACTCCTCGTCTCAATTTCACACATGGTTGAAAAAGAAAACGAAACGTTCCTTATAAAGGTGTGGAAACCTCTCTTAGCATACGTATTTTAAAATCGTAAACATGACGACGATAGGTAACAAATTGAAACAAGCAATATTTGTTAATAGTGGTATCGAACTGTTACATATGGTATCAGAGCTAGATACCAAACGGTGTGCCAACGAAAACGCTGGGCTCCCTAAGGAGATGGATTGTGAGATCCAAGATCGGTTGGAGATGAGAACGAAGCATTTTTTTTATAAGAGTATGAAAACTTCCAATAACATGTTTCAAAGGAATCATGAAATGAAGTAGTCAATATCTTTGTCGGAAAGTTGGGATCTTATTAAGACAACAATATCTAATACATATATAATGATTTGAAATTTGTATAGAGGTGTGATTTAGCTATTTCTCATGAATCTCCGGTAGCATTTGGTCTAGCTGTGACTTGTTGGTAAGAGTAAAGAAAAAATCGATAATGAAAAAATAAATTGAGTAACAATAAGAAAAAGTGGAAATTTTCGAGTAGAGCTACGGTGATGTAAAGGTTGTGGATCAACAAGGTAAATGCACCACATGACCTTAGTTTGTATTGTTGTGATGAAAGTGACCCGATGAGGTAGTAAGGATAGAAACAATGTAATTTCCAAGACTACAAGGACCGAGGATGCTAGTCTAAGACTTAAAACGGGGACGATTTAGTGTTGGTTGACCCGTTAATAGTTGTCTATGTAAACTCAATTTAGGATTCAAGATGATGGCAGTTGACCACAAGAAGTCTACGCTGCACGATTGTCATCTAAATATTTTCAATAGATCAACGAGATAGTGAAGTTTTGTTAAAGTTGCAAATAGCTGTTATACAAGTACAACTGAGTTAACAGTAATGACAACTAATTTTGATAAGATCATGATCAATAAGTTCAAAAAGAGTTTTGAAGTCCAAAACATAAAGTAGATTTTCAATGGCTACATGAACTCCCAATTGTGTCGACACTAAGACGAGTAGATAAAGTTGCTAAGACAAGTGGACGTATCAAAATGGATCCAAAGTCAAAAGTGTATTTTTATTTAAAAAAAAAAAACTAAAACTATATACTTTTCTTAATCTTATCTACACGGTATCAAGAGAGTATAATTTAGTTTGATTTTCAACCAATGGTAATGAAATTCGATGAACTAATGATGAGGTATCATATTGAAAGCACATAAATTTTTGTTTATTATAAATGTTACGTATTCTATCTCCGTCTATTTAAAGAAATTCAGAAATATGAAATAATGTTGATTGACACTTTGATATTGGTTTTGGTGATAATGGATCACGGTGGATCATTTTGGTGTCATACTTACTTAAAAGTTCGTATTTTTTTATTTATTTATTTTATTTCATTTATTTCTACTAAATTAGTTTTAATAATTTTTGTTTTTAAAATGAGTAAATATATTTTTTTTTCTATAAATTCCTTTATTTGTATTACAATTTCCAAAATTTTAGGTTTAAATGATTTTTTAAAAATTCAAATTTTATTTTCTTAAATGAAACTTATCCTGAAAAGAATAACGAAAAAGAAACAAAATTATCCTAAAAAATATAATTCCATGGAAATTCAACGATGAGAAGCTGAGCTGGAATGCACAGATGGGCCAATGATGAGCGCTTGTGGGAAGACTTTTAATGATGGGTTGGCCCACCACTCAATAAATATGTTTTTCACTATTTATATACATTAAATTGCAAGTTTATAAATTCTGCGTAATACTATTAAATTTATTTTATTTTATTTTGGGAAGATATTTAAAATTTAATTTTATGTTTAGATATATAACCAATTTAATATAAAAAAAAATATAGTTTAATGTAAGTTTATAACTTTCAATAACTAAATTTTTTAGTTGCATTCAACTAAGGAAATTCGAAAATTTATTGAGTTGTGGATATGTATGAGTATGCTTTCAATGCTTCAACATTCCCAATTTTTTGCCATTGGTTTATCCGTTTTTTTTTAACTATACCCAATATAAAATGAGTTCAACATGTATTTCATAAAATTTCCAGTTTTTTTTTTAACTATGTTATAATGTTTTAATGATGTAAGGCCTGATTAAAAATAGTATATATAAAATAGTATATATATTTAGAGGTGGATATTTTTGTTAGAAAGATATAAAATAATAGTGAGCTTGGAAGTAGTGTTGAATTATTGGAATAGACAATATCTGACAACAAAAACCATCGGTAAGATATGAAAAGGAAGATGATTAGGTCGATATAATGAAAAGTGGGAAAAGAAAAGATAGTGACAAAGAAATTTGACAAATGGAAATGAAATGTTGAATGGGGAAGTTGGGACCCCAATTTATTAGTGTTTTGGTTGGGTTTGGAGCCTTAGCCGCCGAGGACAATCAAAATGGCATATGGCAACCACCGCTGAGGGTCCATTTTCCTTATCATTTTGCAGACTGAAAGAAGAAGGGGCTGTCTCTTTCAACCTTGCCTATCCAATGGGACACTGCAGACACTTGGGACTAATTAGTTTTGTCCTTGTTGAATGCACCACTTCTTTGTCCTATCATATTTAATTTTTGGGTCATTCCTTAGTTGTCAAGGACGACGACCACCTTGATTTGATGCCTGCGCCTGCTTTTATGCACGCCTTCGACTGCCCTAAACAATGTCCTTGCCATAATAGGCTTCAAAAACTCGAATTTCTATGGCTCCATAAGTTACATAAATCTGAACTTTACCTTACATTTATTTTAAACCATGAACCAAACACGGAGAGATATGCTAGACTCCACAAATTTCAGTTTATAATGATTGAAGCAAAACCATACCATATTGATTGAGCTGTCCTGATCCAATCAGACAAATGAGTACTACGTTTGTTCACTGCCTTGTCAAGTGTCTGTCAGAATATTTGTTCTTTCCTACTCGCTTTCTTGTCAGTACCTTCAGGAAATTATGAGCCGGAATTCTGTTATCTTGGGCCAAAACTGATAATAAAACAGTCCCAAAAAACGAGCCCAGGAATAAAGCAACTCTTCTCATCCACATCCCACAGGCCTGCTAAAAGTCGTACATAAACAACCAAATGAACAAATGAACGGGGTGTTCAACAAACTTTATTCTGTATAATATTAACACATCAACGAAATCCTCCCATTAGTTTACAAATCCACAATCCTAAATCAGGTGGGTCTCGGTCATTGGTTGGACGAGTCGGTTTTTGGTCCAATGTTGTTCTCACCCCTACTGATTAACTGTAAAGATTGATTCAAGTCTCAACCGAGTTCCATTATAAATGCACATAATAAGTCATTTAAGCAAAAGAGACACAAAGCTAGGAGGTCAGATATATGGCAGTTGAACATGGGACAGAATCACTCTATCAGGGCCACTCTCAGAAAAAATGGTCTTGTGTTCATTTCAATAATGGTGGATGTGTCGGCCTAATATAAGAAACTTCTCGAGCTTCAAAATGTGTAGTAATACAGCGCCTGCGCCTAATTTAGATAATTCTCACCTTCGAGCTATTCTCTGTCCTGCCCCAAGTAACAAGGCCTTCCCAATTGCACCAGTTCGAAATCCACAGACTACAGCCACTGTCCCACCAATGATTATCCACTTCCAATCTATGCCAGAATCATTTTGATGCTTTTTCCTCATCACTTGAGTTCGTACTTCATCAGATTCTGGCTCCGAGGAATCCGTGTTTCTGTCCAAAGAAGTCTTTGTGGTGATCCTAGCCATCAGTGCACTTCTAGAAACAGAAATATCTGATTTCCTAGCGTTCTGGTATGCTCTGAAACCAGAGTGCAACTTCTTGACAGTTCCCCACATTCCATGACGGACTCCCAACTTAGCCACATCCTTGGGGATTCCCATATCTTCATAATGCACTAGGATAACCTCACAAGCAGACCGTAATCCATCTCCTTTACGAGATTCCACTGCATTCATTTCCAAATTCAACAAGTTAGGATATTGATCAAAGCATTTTTTCAAATGAAATCCTATAATTCTCAGAAAATGGAAGAGAAACATCTTCTTAATCCTCACCTGCCCTGATGATCCAACTTGAAAAATAAGGATCCACACGCCTGGGTTTGTCAAGTCGGGGTAAGCTTGGATGTTGTACGTCCTGCAGAAGCAAGGTTTCATATTTCAACTTAGCCACATCAAAACACGAGAAATGGTCAAAATGGACAGGGAGCATATAACCATATTTCAATTATGCAAGTCAGCAAGACATGCTTATATATCAGAGATGATCTTACCATCAAATTTTATTTTGAAAGATCACATTTGGTATTCTCTACTATTTATTACATGTCATGCAAACCTTTCGGTCTATGTGAGATCCCACATCGATTGGAGAGAGGAACGAGTGCCAGCGAGAACGCTGGCCCCAAAGGGGATGGATTGTGAGATCCCACATTGATTGAGAGAGAAATGAGTGCTAGTGAGGACATTGGGCCCTGAAGAGGGGTGAATTATGAGATCCCACATCGGTTGGGAAGGAGAACGAAACATTCTTTATAAGGGTGTCGAAACCTCTCCCTAGCAGACGCGTTTTAAAAACCTTGAGGGGAAGCTTGAAAGGGAAAGCCCAAAGAAGACAATATCTGCTAGCGGTGAGCTTGGGTTGTTAAAGTCTAAAACGGGTTTGACCAGACATACAACCAATTGTGATAACATCTGGTAATCTAGATAAAGGCTGAACTTGAGAAATTAAAACCGGTTGCTAATTACTATTAATGCCTTTGATATGTTCCTTCCCTCTGATAACACACGTTTCCCATAGTATCTACTTACCATCCAAAGGATATTCCAAAGTTCAGACTATGGCAGTCCAGGTATACAACCATGCCAAACTGCATGATAGCGCATAAATAATAGAACCTATCTAAACTATAATTGAAATATGCAACAGAGGTTGGCTAAAGCAAATAAAGAAAGTATAGCAAGCAACATGGAGTAGCAGGAGAAAAGTCCTTGAACAAGGTGTAATATCTACCTTTGTAACACAATAGTAAGTCTTTGCAGTCTCCCATATTCTTCGACCCATAACGTATTCTCTATCGCTGCAGAAAAAGGGGAACTGCAGAAAAGGAATATACAAAGAGGCATTAACCCTCATAAATTCTAAAATAGTTAATGGTATAATACAATAAATATATTCTGGCATTCCCTAGTCCAACAAACCTTCTTAATCCAGTGAACAATCATGGTCCCTGTATGAGGGCATTCATCCAATATCTTGAAATATGCAAGCATGGGATCCCATTTAGTACGAAATTCATCGTCCCAGAAAAAGTCTCTAACCATCTCCGGGGTTGCATCCTCAAAGACAGTTCTACTACGATAAACAGTTGGTCGGTTCTGGTGAGGGGAAAAATAAAGATGTTGAAACTTGATATACATCTAAAACAATAGAAATGAAATATTGATGCTGAAGTGAGGAAAAGAGGAGGATGCATTTCATGGCAAAATATCCTACATGCACAAATGCATGATAGGTTATGACTTCCTTTGCTTGCACAACACAAAGCTAACAACAACTATTTGACACAGATATCTATTCCCAATAGACAATAGTTCAGTGCTATATGTAATATGTGCAAACGAAAGGTTTTCATTTTGGACCATAGCTTCGGAAAAACTGAACACAAATGATTAAGTGAAAATTTCCCAGAATGCAGCTGCCCTTAACTGGTGTACGAAAACCACCTCTTCTTGACTTTGGGTTCACAAGCATAACTTTGGGTTAAAATCATCATCGGATTTAAAAAACAAGTGAAGAATATTTCACAAGATGCTATCCCAGCAGGACTATTGGGGAGTTGTAGAGAAATACAAGAGACAGAAAGACTCTTCATTAAGTTAATATTGTAACCTCCAATTGGCATACAGTTCTGAAATTCTGTGATTCCCCCTATATTTCGACGTGCACCAACAGGAGTTCTTTTTGTTAGCTCCCTTGGGTATAGGGATTCTCCCATCTCCTCACTTTCTATTGTTCTTAATGAAAAATTAAGAAAGTTCCAAAGAGGGAAAAATGACTTATAGAAAGGGTTTGAAAAGAAAATACAAAAAGCTGTGCAAAGTCAAGAACTTGGAAAAATGACAAAAAACTAATCCAAGTGTAGCAAAAATAAAAAGAAAAGAGCACTACAAATTTGAAATAATGCGAAAGAAAGGTAATAATACAAGCTAACATCCTCAAAGTCTGATACCTCAGGCTCAAGGCGCCAAGCTTCATATGCGAAGTTTGGGGTCGACCTTTGCATCATAGTTTGCCACTCTGCCTCTCCATTCCTTCCTTCAAGAAGTTGCAATAGGTGATCCAAATCATTCTCTGTAACAATATCCTGCTCTTTTCCCTCTTTATTTCTGGAGCAATGGACAATAATTTTTTTTCATGAGAAACGGTTTTATCCAGTGGCATCTCTAACATAATTACAACTTGTTTTTGGCAAAACCAGTCAACTAGCCCAAATACCATCAGTTACAGAATTCAAATATTGGTACCATCAGTTACACATAGAAATCGAAGATTGGTACCAAAGTGTCAAGCCACAAATAGTTATATACAACCAAGTAAATTTCATACTCACACAATTGCATCGCCGCTCCCTTCTGCCGAGTGCTTCAACGTGGATGCCGCCGTAGAAACCGGGACCGACTGCACCGGCGGTACTTTCCTCTTCCCCTTAAAATCAGACCAAAGAGTACGGCAGACTGAGAAGACAGATAGAGCCGTGAAGGCCAACCAAAGCCGCCGAGCTCCAAATCCGGGAGGAGCAGTCCACATTAATCTAAACTTGCTCCGAAAGCCCAGAAAAACCAATCCAGTCCAGCGAGGGCGCCAGGACCAGCCGATGACGAGGCCGATCATAACAGCGAGCCAGATCGGAACTGCACAAAGCAAAATGTCGACGAATGTTTCGGCAATTGAGGGCTTCTTGAGAAACTCCACAATATCGAAGAATGTCTCCTCCATCTGAGCCAAGAAAATGTGACGATTTCCACAACAATTGGAATGGAACTACATCCAAAATTAAGAATGACTTCTGCCCTTTGTGTTCTCTAATTCTCTCTCAGTAATCGAATTCCACCAGGTTCTGCCCCTCCCACGAGACAGATTCCCGAGGGAAATCCATACAGAGACGGAAGAGAGAGAAAGGGGGTGTCAGCTCGGCAATTTGTCTGACGTGGCAATATTACAACCGTTGATAGATTTAAAATTTTGATTAGTTGTTTGTATAGGAAGTCTGGCGCGTGGATGAAACGATCGGAGATAATCGGAATCGTTGATTGGACGTGTGATGAATACGTTTATCGGTGGCGCGTGATGGGTTTTGAAAAGGAACATGCTCGGGTTGAGATAGTTTTCACACGTGTGGTAGATATTTAACTTCTTGGGCCTCCTCGGGCCCAAGGTCCAGTGGTTTTGCACTTTTGTGTAGTACGGAACTTTCCTACGTTTACTTTTTTTTTTCCCTTATTAAATTAATACGTTTTTAATCCTCTTATTTTATATTTAATAAATTCCTAACATTTTAATTTTGTATAGAATTAATAAATTATTTTATTTGTAGGGTAAAATTGAAAGAAATTATGAAATGACAAGTTCTCTCCCCCTATGAACCTTTTAAATGGCAAATTTCACATACAAAACAGAATATATATTATTATTATTATTATTATTATTATTATTATTATTATTATTATTATTATTTTTTATTTTGATGCATAACAAAATCCCAATCTTTCTTTTTTTTTTTTTTTAAACAATCTTTTCTAAGCTTTTGTCTTGAAATCTTCAATGTTGAATGAGAATGCTTTTTGTGAGAATTTTAAGTGGTCAAGTCATGGGCAAAAAAAAAAAAAAAAAAAACTTTATATTTGAGAGTCATGTGGGCATTTCCTTTCTTTTTTGTTAAAAAAAAAAAAAAGATGAATATTATTTTCGGAGAATAACTATATTACCAAATTTTTTTGAAAAATCAATAAGATGTACTTTAAAAACTGCTGAGAATGATTGAGAAAAGAGTACTCATTGACTAATTAAGAGGTGGATTATAAATAAGAAATAAATCTTTCACTTAGGTTCAAAGTGGACAATATCATATAATCGTAGAAGTTCGTAATTTGGTTTGAATCCCTCGTTGCCCGAGTATGATCAACCAAAAAAACAAGAAAGAAATAAACTTTTGTCTTTTAAGCAAGAGGAACCTGAGTAATCTTAAGATAGAAGTTTGTTAAAATGGTAGTAGAGAAGGGTGTTTTAGGACCACTAGATGTATTGTGTGTGACTTCTATTGAAGAATCTGTATCATGAAGCTACATGCAAAACTCATAAAATTAAACCAAAAGGGTAAGATTGAAAGGGTAGTGATTATGAAGGCACCCAAACGAGAACCACAGAAGAAATGGAGGGTTTTGAAGCCCCAATATCTGACCCACACCGTGTTTAAGAAAGTGGGGAGTGAGCAAGAAACCAACCAAAATGGGTATCATCACAGTCTTCTCATGCACCTCAAACTTTCTTCTCTTCAACCTCATATTCTTCTTCTTTTTTTTTTTTTTTTTAAGAAAAAGAGGAAATGGATCCACCTAACACCCATTGGCTTGCACCAAACTTCATCCTGCTGGAGTTTCTGCAACTTGAAGGCAAAGATAACCAAAAGCTCATGAATTTGGAAACCTTTACACATTGTATACCGAGAAGAGAACATTACCCGATAACCAACGATTTTGTTTCGTTTAACTTGGAGTTGGGGGGAATGAAGCCTGGTCCGAGATCGCTCCCACGGTGGAGGACGACAATCAGCAAGCGGTCTCGAACCAGACAGCATTTCCCTCAACAGTTTCGACACTAAAGAGAAGAGAGAGATTTGGAAGAACAAATCTCAACTCTTATAGAAATCCCTTTTTCTTTTTACTTCAAAAGAGTTCTCATCATGAAGCGTAACGTAATCATGGAAAAAGAAAAATCCTATCCAAACAAAGCATAAACAAACATCAATGGCCCCTACTCCCACCCCTTTCATATGCAATTTGTGTAGACTAGGATTCCATATCATTTCTAATGTGAATCCTTACTATAGTTTATAATCACCCTACACATAAATTATTAATTTCTAAAACTTTTAAGGTCGTATCTCCGAAAACAATAAGAATAACAAATTTCAAATGTGGAGATTTAGTGGTGAAAAGTGATAAAAATCTTTACCTCATAAATCTAATATATTTTTAAAATGTTATAATATGTTTTTATTTATTTTATTATTATGACGAGTCTAATATATTTTTAAAATTTGAATATCGAGCCTAATATATTTTTTTTATCGGTGCTCATTAATTTTTCTAGAGATAGGAATAGAGGAATGGAAAAGAGAGAATGAAAATTTCAAAATTCTTAAGAAATAATCACTTGTCACAAAGTTAATGGAAAGGTGAGAGTGACTGGTGAGCTTTAAGCTTGGGTGTGATATTAATCCATTAAAAATAAAATTGAAACTTAAGAAGTTATATATATATATATATAATTTTATTAATTGGTCAAGGCTCAATTTTACAAAAATAATAAATAGATATTTTGACCGAAAATAACTTAATGAATAAGGTAATTAATTCAATTAAAAAAATGCAATATCTAAACTATATTTTTCAAAATTATTTTATTCCTCAAAATTTCCAAAGGCTTCATATCTTCGGGGCGGACCAGTCACCGGAAAATGCTGTAACTGCCAGTATACGGCTGCTAAAACGAAACCGTTGATATCTTAACCGCCCAAACGCTTCCGTCGAAACAAACAGGGATTCTCCTATTTCCGATTATAAATTACTCCCGCAGTTGGATTCGATTTTACCGAAGTTCAGAATTAGTAGTAGAATCTTTTCCTTCTTCTGCACAGTACTCTTTTAGCGATAATGGAGTCCGGCATGGTCGTCTCAGAAGCCACCTCTGAGGTCAAGAATGAAATCCGTAATGAGGAGGAAAAGCTCCTGGTCGTTGCTCCCGATGTTGAGGTTAAGGAGATCGCTGTTTTGACCGAGATCAAGAAGAAGAGGAACCAAATCCAGGTTTCCAATGTCAAGAAGCCGTTCTTCTACTACTACAATCTTTCTAAGGTATTCATTTTTGCGATCCTCTGGGCCTTTCTGTTGAATCAATTTCTTTATTAGATAATCAAAACCGTGATTGATTCGACGTTTGCAGAGGTACATCAAGCAGTACAACGAAGTTGAGCTCTCTGCCCTAGGAATGGGTACAAGTTTTCTTGAATCCATTTCTTTTTCATATTTTGTTAACAGATCGATGTGGATAACTGGATTGAGTTCCAATCATTCATTGATTCATATTTCATAATACAGCTATACCTACTGTAGTGACGATCGCCGAGATTCTGAAGAAGAATGGATTAGCATTTCAAAAGTGTAGGAAAATTTATCGAATACATTGGCGATTTAATTTGTGTTTGGGAACACTGCTGTCTTTAAACACGATTCTGTTATTTGGAAATTTCTGCAGATTTGACGATATCTTCTGTAAGCTTGAAGAATGGGGAAAATGATAGGCTGGTTATGAAACCTAAGGTTACTGCTTACTAATGCAAATATATTGGCCAAGTTTTGGATGTTTTAATGATGTGTTCTTCTTCATCTTGTTTGCTAGATTGAGATTGCCCTGATAAATGCAGAAAAGATGAAGAAAATTTCGACTGCTACAACAAGTGAAGATTCCTGATATGAGTTTTGTTAGTGTAGTATCATCTCGGATGTGGCTTTTCTTCTTGTTTAGCCTACTTTGTCCAGAGTTTCTACAGGAGATTGGAGATTTGGTAGCGAATAGGCGAGTGAATGGCAGAGCTTTTGGTCGAAGTAGATTCAATCCTAACAGAACTAAAGGAGAAGAGTCCATTGTTAAAGATTTGGATGTAGAGCAGCTTTCTTTGTAATTCAACTACCAAATTCTAATTGCATATAAAATTGAATGAACAGACTGATCCATTCTCTCTATCTCTTGCACTAACGCACACACTAATCATTTAATTCTGAACTCATCCACTAGGCGTTTATATGCAAATTCAGCATATAATATTGAACTTCAGCTATTGAGCAGAGGATAACAAAGTAGATTAATATCTTTATAGCAAGCTATGAATCTCAAACTCATGTATTACTGTCATGTTTGTCTGCTTAATTACTGCATAATTACTTCATAATTACTTCACTAGTCTTTATAAGCTTGTGGAAATTTCTTTACTGTAGATGTCTTTTAAAAACCTTAAGGACAGCTCGAAAAGAAAAATTCAAAGAGGATAATATTTGCTAATGGTAGTGCCCGTGAGAAGGTTGAGCCCCAAAGGGGTGAACACAAGGCGGTGTGCCAACAAGGATGGTGAGTCGGACAATGGACAATAGTTTGCAGTAAGGACGCTGGGTTGGGTCGGACAATGGACAATAGTTTGCAGTAAGGACGCTGGGTTGGGTCCTGAAGTGGACATCAATTTAAGAAGGGAAAAAGTGCCAGTAAGGACCGTGGATCGAACAAGGTCCTTATGTGAACATCGATTTTGGGTCTTGTGTCCTGAAGTGGACATCAATTTAAGATCGAACAAGTGCGAGTAAGGACCGTAGATCAAACAAGTGCGAGTAAGGACCGTAGATCAAACAAGTGCCATACGTGGCATCGATTTTGGGACTTGGGTCTTGAAGTGGACATCGATTTAAAAATCGAATTGCCAGTAAGGACCGTGGATCGAACAAGGTCCTTACGTGGACATCGATTCTGGGTCTTGGGTCTTGAAGTGGACATCGATACAAGTGCCAGTAAGGACCGTGAATCGAACAGTGAAGACGGTAGATCCAGGTAGGAGTAAATGGTGAGATACACATCTTCCCTAACTAATTAAGATACTAAATTATAACAAACTTAGAAGATTAAAACTAATTTTAAGCACAAAATATAAATTTGGGGAGTGTATATATATTTTAAAATTTAAAACATAAAAGTAAACCGATATTTGTATAACTTTGGAGTCGTTGTCTTGACTCAATCAATGCATGGAAATTTTATGTTTTGAAATATAAATGACAATAAATAAAAAATTAGGTAAAAACACCCTATTGTTACAAAATTTTCCCTTTGAAACATTTATAGAAACATTAGGAAAATGTATGTTAGATTTATATATATGTGGTGGTATTGAGATTACTTGGGCTTCTAATTTATTTGACTTTGATGTAATTTATTGATTTTAATCAAAGAAAATATAATGGATAAAGTTGCTTTGTCATTTTTTATTCACATTTTATCAAGAACTTATCCTATTGATTAATTAATATTTAGTTGGTACAAAATATCAATCCAAAAACATTAATCAATGAATCAAAGTTTGACTTGATTTCATATCGCTCAATATTTATTATATTATTTTCTTTACTGTATCTCCTATAACATTAAATAATGAAATGATGAAAATTTCAATGGAATAGTCATATTTTTAGAATTATAAACACGGTCTAGGATCTTATAATAAAAGCTGTCTCTTTTTTAATAAAAAAACCGCATAAAAAGCCTTCAGAAAGAGTTCACCAAAGGTAGCTGCAAATAATTAAGGATGTCTCTCTGCGATGGTAACTATCTTTACACCTATTTAATGTCGTTTCATTTTTTTCCACAATAACAGTGTCATACTTTTGTCTGTGATGGAAACTATAAGGTAAAACGTCGTGGCCGGAGCTGGTCGGAAAACATGGAAAGACGGCGGAGGAGACGATTGAAAGAGAGGTGGCTTGGGTAAATGCTAAGGTTGTTCAAGAAGGAACCACTTTGGTGACTGCTGATTATAGATGTGATAGGGTTTGGGTTTGGGTCAATAAACATGGCTTCGTTACTAGAATTCCCATCATCGGTTGACAAAATTACCTTCTTCAATGTCATTAAACTCTCTCTTTCTCTCCATCCATCCATCTCTCTTCTTAGTTTATTACTCTACTCGATGTAAATCTTATCAAACAACGGTGTGATTCAAGGATCTTTTGTTTACTTTGAAAGATGGTCAAAATCGATCAATTTTTTTGTTAAATAGGCATTAGCATAATTACGTGGATGCCTTATTACACAGTTGAAAAGACAGGTTTTGAAGATGGATTTCAGGCCGAAGGGAGGGTTTCAATCGATCATCAATCTTTCTAGTCTAATTTTCTTAGTTGAAAATATGTGTAACTCAATCCAATTATCCTACCGAAAGTGTATTGATTAATTTATATAATCACGAATAGATATGCATAAACGGAAAATGAAATTGCAGTATTTTTATTACCACAAACACGATGAGTACATTAATAAGAAAAAAAAAGAAGAAGAAGAAAGATAGAATCACCTTATTGAATATTCATGTTGTGGGAACAAACATGGATGGGATTTATATATTTGGAAGCACACAATATTATGATTAAAATGGTTAACCAATGAAAGGAGTCCTGGTGACGATGCCTGTTTTCACAGTCACCCAAACCCAAACCCTGTCGCACCTAAAGTCTTGAATCACACTTGATCCTTCATCCACAATAATGGCATCCACCAAAGGATTCTCCTTCTCGATAATCCTCTCTGCTTCTTTGCCTTCCTTACCCACCAGCTCCGGCCATGAGCTCTTTCCTTAACCATCGCAAAAACAAACCCATATTAAATCTTATTTACTTAGTTCTTAACAATATAATATGAACATGTACCTTTGCATGTTGTAGACATCCTTAGCGCTTTGTGATTGAGCTTCTTCTTTCTCTGATTAGGAAGCTCTTGTGATCATCTTTGTGGGGGGAGAGTGGGTTTATATAGAGCATTGGTGTCCACATAATACTATTCAAAATTATTTAACATACAAACACAAACGAAAAGTAAATTTGAGGATTAGGGTTAGCGAAAAGTCGTAGATGAAAGATAGAAAATGGGAGGAGTGAGGTTGAAAAGACAAAATCAACAACACCATGTGGTTTAATTATTCTTGTTTTCATGTATGTGTTTATATTTGTTCATATAAACACGCATACATGGTTTCATGATATCTATCTCAATAGTATGAATGTGGGGAAGAAAATGTAACATGAAATGGTTGTTTTTGTCAAGATAGTTGAATATAATTTGTGCCACACCATTTCACTTCCAATTCGTGTTTTCTTTTTTGAATTCAACAATGTTACGTAATATTCCATATTAATTGTAGAGAAAAATGAGACATCCTTTATAAGAGCCAGAAAACTTTTTCCTAGCATATGTGTTTTAAAGTTTTGAGGAGGAAGCTCGAAGCCTCTGCTTGGCCTTCTAAATAAAAAAAGTCAAATAAAAACACCGAAAGAAATCAAACCTTTACCCTATATAAACCCATTTCCCCCATACAAAAATTGTTACTTCATTATTATTGAGACTAAAAAAAATTGTAAATTAGTGTGTTGATTGTATTTGTAGAGATGTGGGGGTATTGATTCTCATACCTCTCACATGTTAATAGAGCATTCTACCATCTGAGCTACATCTCCTTATTTATTTATTATTATTATTATTATTATTATTATTATTATTTTATTTTTTTTTAATTTTGTCAAATCACATATATACATAAAAATGTTTTAAATATACATTCCAGCTAAAATTTTAAATTTTAAAATGTCAAAATCTAAAATTTCAATTTATCTTTTCATTCCTTGTAAATTGGTTGATATATAAAAACAAAAAATTTAATCTAGTTAATTATTATTTTGAATTCAAAACATGTCTTCTCTGTTTAGTTTTATGATGGGTGTGTTTGGGTGATCGGGAAACAGGTCATCGCCGCAGTTCATGGGAGTAAAAGTGTAACTGCCCGAACCCACCGCTAGCAGATATTGTACGGTTTAACTCGTTATATATTGTCGTCAGCCTCACAGTTTTAAAAAACTCTATTGGAAGAGATTTTCACACCCTTATAAAATATATTTCGTTCTCCTCTCCAACCGACATGAGATCTCACAAGAACGCTTTATTGCGAAGGTCACATGAGAGGCATCGTTCTGCTGCACTTGGGGTTCGGGTTTGGGTTAATAAGACTGGATTTGTTACAAGCCCACCTACAATTATAGAGATTAGAATGAGCCTTCAATTATATGAAAACATTCTCGTACATGATTAAATACAATATTAAACTTTTAAGTCTCCAACCAAATGGAGCATTAAAGAACTAAGGAAGGATTTTCTTCTTACTTACCCGACAATAATAACTTTTGTATTTATTAGTTTAGAATTACAAGTCAAATAAGTAAAATATTTTGAAAAAAGATAACATATATACCTACTTAATTATGTCAATGTCGGAATAACCATTTTAAAATTCATCATTTTCCAAACTCAAACATTAAAGTATTACATAAAAATGTAATCTAATGAAATTGAAAGTTTAGAATAAGTATATAAATAAAAATAAAAATGTGACCAAACAAACACGTCCAATGCGTACACGCATGAATTTGTACACAAAATTTCCAAAGGATAAACCTTATTATATATCCAAAGTGAATAAATAATTGTGTCGCCAAAGTAATGCCGCACTTCAAATAGCATGGGGGCTGCACCACCTTTTGTTCTGCCTAAAATAACCAAACTTTACAATTCCAATACGTAATTCCATTCCAAATTCAAATGGGTTTTTCTTGATCTAAACTCCAATCAATTCAAACATGTATACATTAAATAAATCTCCCGCAACTTCTCCCCACTTTCCTAACTCCCAAGCATTCCTTCAAAATTATCATACAAATGTAGGATTTATATACTATGTTCTAAATGTCTCGAGAATGGCATTTATTTGAGTTGAATCAGAAGAATCTTGCATGAATTAAAGGAAATATAAGGATGGGGTGCTCTGTATGTGGATATTATGTTTGTCACAAATGACTTTTATTTTGAATTGAAACAATGATATAATTCAATTTCCATGGACATTATCTACAAACAATCTTGCAATGAATTCAATATGTTACACAAAAGCTAACTGACTTCTAGCTTCCAACAATCCGAGCGGCAAAATAAACCACCTTTTTGGACTATGAATGGAAGGAGGGAAAAGATGAATATCAAAAGCAGATATGGTAGGGCTTCAGATGGGAGCTTCCACACGAACACGTGCAGCATGGCGTTCAGTGAGCGCCCGGACGTCGAGTCGAATGGTTGACGGCATAGTTCCTCACTTTCTGGGGACAGCCGGGGCCGTTGGTGCCGGGAATGAAGGTGCAACCTGAGGGGCCGGAGGGCGGTACACTGACCCTCTGAAGAGACTGCAGCTTCAGCTTCAGCTCCGTTCTTCTCACCATTGATGGGTTCTCATGCAGAGTCCTACCAGCTATGTTTGGGTGAAGCTGCAAGAGAAAAAGAAGGAAAACCATTGCCAGAGTAAGAGATATGTGAAGAATTTTCATATTCTGTTTCTGTTTCCCTTTCGAGAGATTTAATGAAAGAAGAGGTTGAGTTTGTTGATGGGAATGCAACGATATTTATAGTAAAAAGAAGAGTGTCAAGTTTTGGATTATTGTACAAGCTGCAAGGATTTGACCAAAGCCTCGACAGAATTGAATGGGTCCTCTCCTAACCACTAATAGTGGCAACTTTGATTTGAACAGGAACATTCTTGAGGACTTCAAGAGATATGCATGTGTGTATGTATCAGGCATGATGTGTGTAGCATTATAAGAATGAGCTGAAAGATAGCGACTTTCATGGTGGAGTTCATGCGAGGAAATTTCCAGCAAAGCAGGCAGAAGATGAAAGTCAAAGGGAAGAACTTTGATTCGCTTGGATAGCAAATGGGATTTGCCTAAGGTGAGGGATTGGATTAAATATTCGTTTGATTTTGAAACAGATACACAGAAAGGAAATATTATTGAATGGATGGAAAAGAAACAAAAGAGAAAAATACTTGATCTCTATTTAGCAGTGGTGAGGTTTCAGGGTATTGTCGTATAGGCAATACGTTTTTGACCAATAACCAAATAGACAGGAAACTCGAAAGGTGAAGTAATCAAAACCTCGACGATACGACTAAATTTGCATTTAAGGCTAGCAAAGAGAAGGCGATGAAGGCACTCTTTACAAATTGTTTTCTTATGAGAAGGATTACAACCCCACTCCAAATCCAAGACCCCAACAATTTCCTGGTACGTTATTACAGTGGACAGTACCCACCAAGTCTAGGCAGGGAAGCCAAATTCCATCCATGTTTTGATCTTTGTGTTAGTTAGTGACCATCTGAGGGTCGATACACATTGTAGCCATTGATCCCTTGCGCCATATTTGAGTAATCTGCATTGAGATATTGGTAACCATCAAAGTCTAAAGCCCTTGTCCCAAGTAAAGAGAGATCAGAAGCCGGTCGCCAGTTCGGGACCAACCCATCGATCTGTCCATTTAAGTGCTGCTGTTGTTGAGTGGATGGTGGAATAAAATCCATGGCTGGTTCGTAATGGCTTATGGAAGAGCTATATCCCCGTTGAAACCCACCATCATGATAACTGCGTGTCCGCTCAAACCTGCAGCAAGAGCTTGTTGAGGACCCTACATCACCAGCCATCACCCCCATGTCACCAGGTAGTGAGAACTGCCTGTTCAACAGACTCGGTCCATTGCCAAGAGATCGGAACATCGAGTTGTCTCTGGCTGAAATCCCAACAATATTTTCATCATCAAGAAGATCGTTGATTATATCGAGGTGGGGGAAATCCTCTACAAAACCTTGGAGCTGACGACCAGACGTACAAGCTGAGAACTCCCCTGTCAGAGCTTCAGAGGTTGAACCACGAATTGGCTTCTTGTATAAATCTTGAACTTCATTGAGCAGGGAGGAATTGTAATGCATGCTCCTCACAACTTCCCTCTGTGAAGCCTCTACCCACTGGGGACTATTCGATAAGACATCTCGGGTCACCATGCCGAAAGGAAAACTTGATCTAACAGCATTTGAATCTAACCTGTCAGAGTTGTGTGGTACAAACATGGGCGAAGAAACCATAGCAGATGCCAAAGAGAAGGCTGAAGATGGGCTCATGCCTGAAGTTGAGGTGCTCAGATGAACATATCCAGCACTGCTCGGAGCTACATGGTTGCCCATTATGGCATTTCTATAAGACTGGGGAGCATAACTATGTGTGGCTGGAGAAGGGTCTGGACCCAATCGGCCAGCTGCACTCACTGAACGAGCAAGCAGTGGGGATGTATGGACCACAGTAACAACAGGTGCTGTAGCCCTTGGACCAGGAATTAGAGGTGCGCTAGAAGGCCTTGACATCATAGGAGCTTGCTGTGCTGAAGCCTTTTCAGTTGGTTTTGGAATTGCAGACTTCTGAACCTCTGCTTTTACTGCACTAACAACATGGGATGAGGTAACTGCAGGAATAGTCTTCTCCATCTGATGTGCGCTATTTGACGATGATGCTTTAATTTGAATGGGATCAACGGTGGCAATACTCTGATTATTCAACTTCAGTTCAGCAGTTGGTGGCATATGATCTTGGTGGTTCTGAGGGGAGGATGGTACAGCTGCTGGTGTATCTCTAAGTATCCTTTCCATATCAACCTGGATTTTAGAGCTTCGGTCTTTTGGCAATGAAATAACCTTTTCTTCCTAGTACAATGAACAAACTAAAAGTTAAAATGGACGTCTAATTTCAACATAGACGATCCTAATAACATTTAAGTGACATTATCAAATATGATTTATTCATATACTGAGACCGTTTTCAAACTCTAAGACTAAAATAGTCCGTAATTGAAGCCAATGAAACATAATAATAATCGAGAAGTAAGTCTGAAGTAAAAAA